AACTACAAAAGAAAACTTTTAAACAAAGTTTGAGTACTCCTTTTTTTTTTTTTTTTGGCTAACCCCAGTATCCGGAAACAATACAAGGAGCTCTTCTCGCATCTGTTTTCTTTATTTATAAGATAAGATTTGAACTCAAAATCTTATTTAAAAAAAATCAATTTATTTTCACTTGAATCAATAAAGTGTTTGTAAGTTTGAGTATTTTTCTAACTTAAAATGGGTGTAAAAACATTGGTCTTGTGCTTAAAAACAATAAAAAACAATAAAAAAAACGTATTTTTTAAGTTAGATTGTATAATAAAATTACAGTTTAATTTATAGAATTATAAAAATACTTTTTGATGAAACTTTTCCCTAACTATGTTATTTCATTAATGATAATTAAATAACTTTGTGACTAAATTGCACCTTTATTATCCATTTCACGTTGAAAAACATAAATCTTAATGGTGTTTTTTCTTTTTCTTTTTTTTTTTTTTTCTGAGGAAGGCAATTAGGGGAAAGAGGAAGGAGGAGAAGTGGGGTTCTAACATCTATATTCCAATCCAACACTCAACCAAGTGAGCTATAGTTTGGGGAACGTTAGTATTTAACTATTACATAATCAATCCGTTTTTAATCGGTGCATTTTCCTCTCACAATTGCTCTAACCACAATATATAGGAGTAACAAACACACAAGAATTATAAAACCTGTATAGCTGTTAGCTCTCTAGCGAACGCAAAAGATTATGTTCAAGTTTTGAAATAAAATTTTGGATCCATATACTGTTGCTTGTTTAGTTGAAAATATAGTATTAATTCTTTTCCTTATGGATTTGAGCAGCTGAAATATTCTCTTAGCACGTCAAACACACATGAAGTACTCTCTTGTCTGCATGAATTCAATTCCAATAATTTCTAAACGTGCAAGTGAGTGTTTTCCAGAGGCTGAGGCCACAGCCATATTGTTTTTTTAGCTTTTCAAAGTTTCAAGAACCTTGATCTGTATTTTTTTTTTTTATCAAAAAAGTGTTTTCCAAGTCAAATTTTAGAAATGCCTCTGTAAAATTGTTTAAAGTTTAATTTATAAACATTTCTACACTTTTTTCTTACATGTTGACATGAAAATTTGCAACCATATTTTTATTGGAATTTAATTTGGCAAAAAAGGGGGAAAAAAAGAAGAAGCAAGTGATTGTGTTCACATGACGCTAGATCATGCGTATGCATATACATGCAGACATACATGTGTGTGTTTTGGATGATTTTGGGTTCCAATTGAAAGATTCTAACATATTAGACATTTACCTCCAAATCTTTGGTGAAAATTTTCAACCTATAGAGTTAATGAATCCTACCTGGACTATATGTAGCTTAGAATTTTTCAAGAGCTTTCTACATCATTTGCATGCATTACAATTTCTTCTAATTAACAGCATTGAAAAGTATATTCTCCTATACCTAGAATGCATTTATGAAAAGATGCAGTTACACCTGCTCCCGGCCGGTAAAACTTAGAAAATATATGCCATTAATTTTGTCCAAAGAAAGGTAGAACGGAGCTGGAGCTGCTGCCTCATCATTCCTCAAATTTAACAGAAACTCATTATCATGCCATTGTTACTCTTATTTTCTCTGAACTACTTCATTTGATTTTTTTTTTTTTTGAACAGAAATAATGATATTTATTGATAAATGGAATACAAGGGGTACCCGAACTCTTAAACATCAATAGATGAGAGACATAAATGTACAAGAGTGGGCTAACAAAAAAATTAATGTTGCAATATTAAGGATTTGTATGCAATCTTAATTTCATTTATTTTAATACAATTTTTATTTTTTATTAAAAAAATCAAATATGTATGATAAATAATATTTAAAACTACAAAAAAAAAATGTATTCAGACTCACAAGATCACTATGAATTAATTAAAATGCACTCAAATGATATAATATGTTAATTTAAGCAATTTATAGGATACCGAATTAAGGAAATCATATACCAGGCATATGAATTTGATGAATTGCGTGCCATCAAGTTCATAAAATGCATCATATAAATGGGAAACTAAGATGGAATTGAAAATCCAAAACTAATATCTGCATATATTATAAAAAAAAAATTAAATAAGATTATGTTTTTGTGCTTGTGGGTGAATATCAAGATTCAAGAAGAGATACCCACACCAAGAAAATCTATGAAAGGAACACCCTTTTGTTTCAAGGACGTCTCATCTTCTTTCTCCTGCCCTAATGAAGAATTGGGTGCATTTTCACACAACTTCCCCACCTCCTTCTTCATCATTCCAACACTTTCACAATTATAATTATCCCCAACTTTAAGAAACCCGAACGGACTAGAAACATTAATCCTCCTGTTTTCAGTAGAAACCCCAAATGAAACACCAGAATTCTGATTCCTATACCCCGAGGCAGTACCGTTGGGAAAGTGATATCTAAAAACGGAATTACTCTGTCCAAGAACATTGTTTGAGCTCTCCACAGAATAGTTATAACTTGAACCTGAAATATTCAATAAGTTATAGTCTTTTCCTTCTCTTCTCCATATATCTGCAGCAGCAGATGCATTACTTGAAGCAAATGCCCAAGAGACCGGAGAGGAAGTACTTGAAGAAGACACTGAGAAAATATTGTTCCTATCAATGTTGGGGTTTTGGAATTCAAAGTACCTATTGTTCCCAAACCCAAATCTGGAGCTAAAACCTTCTTGACATCTTAATTTCCTTGCATTAAAAGCACTGAAAGTGTTATTGGAGTCACCGAGACTACTACCTTGATGATTTCTCTTCCCACACAGCTTTGATTGTTCCCTTTGTTTCCTAGCCATTATTACATGCCAATGGTTCTTCACTGCATTATCGGTCCTACCAGGAAACAATCTGGCGATTAAGGCCCACTTGTTTCCATGAAGCCGATGAGCTGCAAGAAGCCTTTCCTCTTCTTCCTCAGTAAATGGCCGCCGGTTGATTCTCGGGTCTAGTTGATTAAACCATCTCAATCTACAACTCTTCCCTGTAGAAAATATATAAAGAATAATTAGGAAATTAATCCTCATAACAAGTTCATCAGCCGTGCCAGTAGTAAAGCTGATAGGTGTTTTATGAAAAGAGGGGAAAGAGAAATTAATCTCTGAAAAAATATTCATTTACCTGATCTACCTTGGAGCTTTTCAGCAATGGAGTTCCAGTTCTGAGCACCATACTGTTCAACGAGCTGCCGGAGTCTTTCATCCTCGGCGGGCCTCCAGTGTCCTCTAGGGCAAGAAGCAGTCTTGGCCTCGTCGCTAGAACCAGCTCCAGAATCCTCCATGGATGGCGGCAGGGAAGAGAGGATTTGTGTGTCATCAAAAGTGCACCAAAGAGAAGTCCTGAAGAAGATATATAGGGGAAGAAGAAATCAATCCCAACAGAATAAGAAAGTGCGGTTGGTTTAGGGTTGTGGATGGTAAGTCACTTTTGTTGGTTTCACACGACATTAAGCCTATGCATCTGTAGAAACAACTGACCTCGTTTTTTAACATTTCCCCTCAAAATTCTCATAGTCAATATTCCTTCTCTCTTTCTTACACATTCTCAGCTATGGTTTTACGTTATATCCAAAATCAAACCTAGTGATTTAAGCACCTTACAGTTAATTTTTGGTTATAGGGACAGCTCTCCTGTTTGCAAACTATTTATTTCATTAATTAGTAGAAAACTTAGCCTTACCACATGTTGGAAAACAATATAGTTGGTTGGTTTGTGCGAATAATTAAAATACCTAATACAAAAATATGGATCTGTAGTAATTTCTTTTTTTTTTTTTTTTTTGTGCGAAATTTTATCAAGTGATATCGTAGGTAGGTTAATTTGCATTATTTTAAATTCATTCACGGTACTCCAACTACCTCTAACCTTTTTTTTTTTTGGCAAAAAAAATTGTTTTGTAGAAAATTAATTTCATTGTAACTATATGATACAATATTGAACAATAATTGATACGCCTTTATATTCTTTAATGCACTCTACAATATTTTTATTAAAAAATTATTATTTTTAAATTTAAATTCAAAAAAAAAATTTTAACTGCAAATTTTAATTATTGAATTAATGATTGTTAATCGGTATATTAAGTTAAAAGATATATTAATTATTTTCCTACAATATTATAGAGATTTGGATGGGTTCACATTAATGTTCTATTTATCGAAAGGTAAAATCAAAGCTGGCAAGCCCTAAAGTAGCAAGGTAATGTTAGGAATTTGCAAGCCTTGCAAGCCTTTTAAAGCAAACCCACATCCCCACTTGCACATATACCTTAAATCAACTAAAATGAATAGCTGAATCTGTTTGCCAGAAAGAGTAAGCAGAGTTTAATTACACTTTGATACTAATATCTCTCTTTACGCCATTTTTAATGTAAAACAATGACACTTAGTTGTCAAAATTACCCATTTAGAGTAAATCATCACTAAGATCAGAAAATACAGATTAGCTTTCTTCAATATCATAGATTAATTAACTTCTCCACAGAAATTCTCAAATTATTCAATAATCGAAACTATGTTGGTCAATTTACACCAATATATATTTCTTGAAATGGCACGATTGATAGCCAAATCAAAAACTGATCAAGTCAATCAAGAACACATTTTGAAATTGTGCATGCTTTGAAAAGTAGTGCTTAATTTATATGAGCTAGCGTTGACGGAGCCAATGCTTGCAACAAATATTAACATGAGGTAGTTGCAGAAAAGGGAGATAAATATAAATGAGCTGAGTTGAATCCCTAAGGATGGATGGATGTGTGTTATTTTGAGAGGGAAAGGAGACCTTTAACTGAATTTCTTGAGATAAATGTAATCTTAAGGGTTAATGCAAATAATGCCGTGTAAGGGCAGCATCAAGAAAACTATGGGTAAACCGTCTGCCATTTTCCATACATCCATCTCCATGCAGATGGCAAGTCAAATACAAACGTTGAAACATAAACAATGTGAATTTAATTTAATTAATTTAACCTATTGTTTTATAATTTGTTTTTCTTAACTGATAGAGATTTTATACCCCACGAAATCTAACACTTTGAAATCCCATCTACAGGCCCTTAAAAATTACAAAACTATATATCTTATCCATTACACCATATGCAACTAGTCACGGTAAACTAGAAAAAAAAAAAAAAGAAAAGAAATTAGCAGGGGTAGTCTAATTGGTCCATCAGCAATCCATATCTACACTAGTCATCAGGAGTTCCATCCCAAAGATATCTCATGATGATTGATCCATCCAAACTGTTTCATGTAAAGAATGGCAGGTTTGATGTTAGGGGGGAAAAAAAAGGAATTTTGCTGGTTTGATTTTCGTTCTCTTTTTTCAGGTTTGGGAATATATATATATATATAGATTAAAAATAAATACTATTATATACTATAAAATAAATTGTTTTATTTGTCTATCATGTGTTCTAATAGAGTTGATCATGAGCAACAACAGTACACACATTTTTTGCATTTATTTTTTGTTATTGAATATATATTATAAAAGTATTTTTGAGGTCGACCAAAAAAAAAAAAAGCATTAATGTTTGTAAAATTATTTAAATGTTGTTAGTGAATTATTCATGTATAATAATTGATTAATTGTATTTAGGTCTTTTCATAACATATGACTCAAAATCTAAAATGTTGCTCTTTTTTTTTTCTTTTTTCTTTTTTTTTTTACTTTTATATCCCTGTAATTGAATTTTTGAAAACAACATTCTAACAAACATTTCATTATTTACTCACGAGTAAAAGAGTTAAAAAAAAAAAAAAAGAAAGAGAAAAGAAGATGACGTATGTTCGTGGCATTAACATTCTAAGGTATAGTAGCTCTTAGGGACACTACAAGTCCTAAGCACCAAATTTTTTGATGAAGTCTAAGGCACCAAATTACACCTTAATTTGGGCAATAATATTTCTGTGTTTAACATCGTTACATGTTGCATTGGTTATGGAGAATTACAATTTTTTTTTTTGATACGTGCAAAAGTGACAATTTAAAGCAACAGAAAAAAAAAAATCTTACCACAGAAAGGCAATAAAAAATAAATGGGCATATTCATATTACCCTTTTAAAATTTTCAAATGTTAATGAATGGTCTTATTATTTAGAAAATAATATATATCAATTTTAACTCTTTATAAAAAAAAATTTAGAGTTTTAATTTTAAAAATATTATTCTTTAGTGAATATTTTCAAAAATGATTATTAAATTTAATATTTTATTTTTATAAATTATGTATATCAATTTTCAAATTAATTTATTATCTACAATTATTTTATTAACAAACTTATTTTTAACATATATCAAGAATTTGGTACATGCACCATTAAGAGTAGGTATTTTGTTGAGAATTTTATGCAGTGGATGGTGAAATTTGAAGTACAAGTCAACAGGACAACTATTTCATACAGTAATCAATGAGTGGTAATAATCCGTTGGATGCAAGTTTAATTAAGAGGACTTTTCTACACCAAATTTCAGCTCAACGTGAAAACTGTCTCATATATATGGTTGACCTTCCGGAATTTGTTTACAGGTTTGTCTAAGTTATTTAAAATTTTTTAGATATAAATTAAAGAGGTAATAAAAATATTTATATTTAATTAATTTATTTGAAAAAATATAAAAATTAAAAAGCACACACTCAAATTTAACATACTAATTAACACTTATCGATCTAATTATTAAATTATATAATTAAAATTTTTCTCACATTAAATTTAAATTCACAAATAATAATTTTTTAATAAATATATTTTAAATGTGTTAAACTGAAAAAATACCAATCATTGTCTTAAAATTGTACTTTATTTTAATACTATTGCTATGTAAATGACTTTAATTAGTCAATTAATTGGATCAAAACCAATATTTATATTTTTTTATACAAATTAATTGAAAAAAAATATATTTATTATATTTTTAACTTACGTTGTAAGGGTACAATTAAAAAAATTGTTTTTTTATACCTTTCTTTTTCTTTTGCAAAACAATGACCAAAGTATCCGGGAAAATCTTTTATACCAATATATCAAAGTACTTTAATTCTTTAGGTAAATATTTGGTAACCTTCTACAGCGTACTTGTTCTTTTTTCTGTTTAATCTTATCATCTTAATTTTTAGCATTTAGATATTAGATTGCAGCTCCCTTAAGTAATTTCATAGTTTTTGACTAATTAAACCCAAAGTTCCCCCACCAATATGTTTTCTATAAAATTAATTTTTTTACAAGAATTATTTTGGCACGCTAAATAATATATAGAGTTCCATTTTGTTTAACATTCTCAAAATTAAGATATGATCAAACTAATATGACATTGTAAAATTAAGATGGAGAGTCTAGATCAATGGATGTAAGGAGGAAAACCTTTTTAAGTAATAAAGATTAGAGAGAGAAATATTTAAGTGGGCAAATAAGTTTGAGTTGATGATATATCTCAAAATTGAGAATGACCACAACAGAAGTATGGAGTTCATACTCTTTAATTGGTAGTTGAAACTAGAAAGGTGACGCAAGATATATTCATACCCACCAAAACAAGAGTTGGAGAAACAAAATTAAAGTACTCAATTAAAATGAATGAATTTGGGTCACTTTCTTCAAAATGAAAAAAGCCAAAAAGAAACCATATATATCAGAAGAATACAGCTGGTATATCATTTAGAAGCAAAACTTTCAGTGCTTGGTTAGCAAAATAAAAGTAATTAAAATAAATGAATTTGGGTCACTATTGTTGGGAATTACAACAATTTCATTCATGTATCCCCTGCCGCAAGGCTCGTAACTTGGTTAACTATAAGATTCAATTCACAAAGAAGATTACAATTTACAAAAGAAGAAAATTCATTATGTATCTTTTAGTCTTACGATAGATAGTCATATATAATATTAGGGTTTTTTTAATTTATGGTTTTAAAGAATAAACTAATGGTTTTTTTTTT